TTACCATGCTCTAGGCAGGAACTCTATTATTTGGCCAGTCCTGGGGCTTGAACTCAGGGCTTGTCCACTGTCCCTGAGTTTCTTTTACTCACGGCTAGCACTTTACCACTTGAGTTACAGTGCCACTTTTAACTTTTTCCATGTATGTGGTACTGAGGAGTCGAACCCAGGGCTTCATGCATGCTAGGCAAGCACTGTAAGACTAAGCCACATTCCCAGCCTAAATCAAGTTCTTATTGCATGCCAACGTTGGCTTAAGCCCTTGATTTTCCTCCACAATTCAACAAATTTTAAGTCACATAAATGTATGTCATCATTTAAAAAGAAGGAAAAACGAAGTGAAAATTTCCTATCTTCACACTTTTTCTTCTGCCCGTGTAGATCCTCAGCCCTAAAGAAATAATCTCTCACTAGTTTTCTAGGCTAGACTGGCAAAAAGTGGGACCCTACCCCAAAAACAACTACAGCAGCGAGGTATTGGTGGCTTATGCCTCTAGTACTAGCTGGTTGGGAGGTTGAGATTGAGAGGATCACAGTTGGAGCTAGCCCAGAGGGAAAACTGTGGACATGGTCATGGGTGCCTATCATCCCAGCAAGGATGAGAAGCCAAACACAGGCAGTCGTATTTCTTTGGAAGTAGGCAGCATCTTGGTAGTAGCTAAGGGACTCTGGTAAAACACCAGTTTCTCCCATATGGAGGTTCAAGTGTGTATGGGAAGTATGGGGGTCTAAGCTGCCCTTTAGGAAGCTTCTCTGTAGTATCTCCTGTGTTCCAAAATGGTGTTCAACTTTTTTCTTTCCTGGCACCAGAGTTTGAACTCAGAGCCTTGAGCTTGCTCAGCTTGCGTCACTGACACTCATCACTTGAGTCATGCCTCCAACCCTACAGTCTCTGGTTATGTTGCACACGGAGACTCAGATTTTTCTGCCTGAGCTGGCTTCAAACTGATTCTCCAGAGCTCAGCCTCCTGACTAGCTAGGATTTTAGGTGTGAGCCTTTCCAACACCCAGCTTGGAGTTGGCTTTTTTAAATCTATGCACTGATTTCTCTTTTCTGCTGACCACCCATGCTGAATGCTAGCATAAGGCCTATCCTGTCAGGGGACTCAGTGTTGTGGCAGCAAATAAAGCATTTGTGATCAGGTATTTAAGGCAGGTGCTGGCTGGGGATGTGATGTCTAGAAGAGGAGGGAAGAGGGAAAAGAAAGATTGGTGTGATTAGGAAAAAAAGGACTAGATGAGAAAGCGATACAGGGACACTGCTGCTGAGAGGAGCATGGAGAAATGGGTCTGGGAAAGAAGCAGTGTTAAGGGTTCATGGGTCTCCTCACCTCTAAAGGCTCCAACCCTGAAAGGCCTAGACTGAGCTGAGATTGGTAGCCATGAGAACAGAGGGCAAGGGCATGGCGCTCTGCCTCAAGTGGAAATGGGCAAAGGGAGAAGAGAGACACCTAAGAGTTGCTGACATGGCTACACATTGCCTGCCCAGTGGGCAGCTCCAGAGAGGAGTTCCTGTGTGGGGAAACTTAGATGGCTAGGAGTTATGATCATCTATGTACATAACTGTGAGCAAAACCTTCTCAGAGTGGGAACATTTGTCCTCATGTTCCATCCCTCAATTCTACAGCACTTACCAATTGAATAAATTACAATCTTTGTGATTTTGAGGGTTCTTTGAGGTAGTAAATTCCAGTGAAACACATTTTTCACAGTCTAAAAGTACTCAACATACCAACTCTGTAAAGCACCAGAGCCTTGATTTTAATAGGTTTAAAGGTTTAAAGTCAGTACACTAATTTTTTTAACTTGATAAAAGCAGCAAAAAATTAAGCAAACATCATATTCCATTACATAATTAAAATTCTTATGTATTTGCCTCATGACTAATTATCTACCATGGGAAAAAGCACTGACCTGAGACCTGCAGGGAGGAACATGGAAGGAGCAAGTCCTGCCGATGTCTTGCTTATGACTGAAAGGACAACTACGGGGATAAAAATGCTTTGGTAGTAGCTGCTGTAATGAGTTAGAGGAAGGACTGTGGTGTGGTGGATGGTTCCTCATCATGGGAGAAAGAGACCTCCACTAGCTGCAGTAGATAATTATATATCATTTTGGGGTGTCTCTAAGAGCTAGAGTTTCTTCATCTGCCCTTTTTCCAAATTTGTTTTTGTAAGGAAATGCTGGAATTCTCTAAGTCTCACACTCCTTCTCTATGGAAAGTTGCTCACAAGGACTCTCCTGGGACCTCTGGGGAAACTGAAGAGTTCTGGCACTGATCCAAATATCACATCTCCACTTAGCACAAGCAGTGTGCTGGGTTCCAGTGGCCCATATCTGTAATCCTAGATACTCAGGAGGCTGAGTCTGAGGCCGAGGAGACTGAAAAGTCTGGAGAATCCATCTCCAATTAATTAGCAAAAAGTTGGGCTAGAGATATGGCTCAAGTGGTAGAGTGCCAGTGATAAGCATGGAAAGCCTCCTGAGCACAAGGTTGCTGAGTTCAAGCCCCACTACTGCCAATAAAAGGAAAGGGCAGTGGTGAGAAAGGCTCCTGAAAGTTCTTAAGTCTCAGGTGACAAGGGGAATGGCCACAAGGAAGGGCAGAATGTGGCAGTGTGTAAGAAGGACCTCCCAGCAGAGGGGACTTGGTCCTGCAGCCTCTACCCTGCCTTCCTTTCCCAGCGAATCAGCAGAGCCGTCGCCCCTGGTGTGCCAGGTCTGGACCGAAGTCAGGAAAACTGCAGAACTGCAGAAGTGAGGAAGGGGAGATGTCTGCAGACCTGCACAGGAGACGCAGGGAGACACAACCCCTTGCCTCCTGCCATCAGATTCTCCATTTCTGCACAGAAGAGCTCTCGAGCTGCTTCTGCTTTCCCACTTCCTTCCCCTGATGGAGCGGAAAGCAACAGGGGTTTCTGTACAAATTAATCTGACACATAGATAACGCTCATCCAAACAAGGAAGATACTATGCCAGTGGCAAAGCACATCGGGATGCCAGTGTTGCCAAGATTGCCAGGACAGGGCCTTGCCTTTAAGGGGATACATAGATTGCACTTGAAATAGCCACAGAATAAATGTCATAGTTCCTAGCAAACCCTCAAAGGGCTGTAAGGCCTGAAATGGTGGGAGACTATTTCGAACCAGGAAGGGAAAGGGACTGCAGGAAAAGCGGCCCATGTGAACAAAGACTTGGGGAGAATGAAGTGTTGGCATGCTGGGAAAAAGCAAACCTCCTAAATGGGATCGACTGCAGGATGTATAAATGCACAGAGTGGGAGAAAGGACTGGAACCATCACATTGTAGAAGACCTCAGGGGTTCAGCTCAGAACACTTAGTTGGTTGCAGCAGGAAGCCCTTGTGGATTTGAGCATAGAAATTGCATGGTTAGTAATGGACTTTGCTAAGTTCATGTGTTATGTTTAGCGTTCTACATGTACCTTGTTTGTGCGTGGGTGTGGGTAGGGTGACAAAGAGTGGACAAAAGGAAAACCCATCTGTGGATAAGGCTGCAATTTTGTTGCCCAACCTGGAGACCTGTACTTACTTATACAGTGTTCTGTTACAAAGCCGAGTGCTGTTCAACTCCATCACTTCCCTTAAAGAAAATAGGCATTCACAGCCACATCCACAGCTAGGAATCCCCCACTCACTGCCACATGGTCTGAAGGGAAATACAGACAAGGCACTGCACACAGCATGGGAAATGATGGGCTGGGATGCCAACACATCTGGATTTGAGTGCTTCTTTCAAAACATTAATTTCTCTAAACTCAACTTCCTGATTTACATCAAAGTGCCCACTCAGAGTTGACAAGATTAAGCGGGATAATGAATAGGAAGTCCTTAGAAGATTTAGTACAGTTTGGGATATGAAATCTATGAGGTAAATACCTCAGTTTCTTCAGTAAATGAATTATGAAAAATAAAAAGTGATAAACCTTTAACTGAAGAGTTATAGTAATCAATGAAATACATAGTCTTGTTTAGTACTTGATTGAAATAAACTGAAAGTGAACGTCAGACCCTTGTGGAGAGTTACATATTAATTACTAATTGATACTACACAGGTATTAAAATGTGTTTGAATATAATCAATATTATCAAGGGAGTATGTGTGTGCTGGTCCTGGGCCTTGAATTCTGGACCTGTGTCCTGGCCCTGAGCTTTTGTGCTCAACTCTAGTGTTCTGAACATTTGATCCACAGCTCCATGTCTGGCTTTTTGGTGGTTAATTGGCGATATCACACGCTTTGAACTGTGATTCTCAGGTCTCACCACCTAAGTAGCTAGGATGACAGTATAAGTCACTGGCAACCAGCAGTTGTTTTGGTTTGTGTTTGCTGAAGGCTAGTGCTCTGCCACTGGAGTCACAGTTCCAACCCCGGATGTTTTGGTGCTTAATTGGAGATAAGAATCTCATAGACTTTCTTGCCCTGGCTGGCTTTGAACCTCAATCTTCAGTTCTCAGGCTCTTGATAAGCTACGATTACAGATGTGAGCCACCAGGTCTGGTTATGTGTTTTTCTTTGTGAGTATGTGTGTGTATGTGGTGTTTTTCTGTTTTTTTTTTTTTGGTAAGAGTGCATATTTGGGTGTCATCCCAAACTATTTGTGAAATAAAAGAATCTGATGCCTGGAATTTCCTTCAAAGCAATCTTGGTTAGGAAAGGAAGAGTCGGAAGGGGCATCCAGCATTTGAGGAGAGTGAGGAGGGAAGGAGTGAAGCATGATTGGTTGTGGGTTGAGATGAAGACTGAGAAATACACTGTATGATTCCATCTTTGTGTGCTTGGGTTTGGATAGGGAATGTGCTCTTCAAAGGCTCATGTGTGAAAGGCTAGGTCCAAAATGTACCAATGTTCAAAGGCAGGGCTTTGGGAAGTAATTGTCTCATGAGGCTTCTGAGTTCATCCATAGACCAATCCATTCAGGGCTTCATAAGTTTATAGCATTAGTAGGAGGTGGGGCCTTGTTGAAGAAAGGAAGTCACTGGCAAGGATGTATCTTGTTCCTGCCACTTCTCACTTCCTGGCCACCTTGAGGTAAGCAGCCCTGCTCCACTACACCCTTCTTGACATGAGTTTTTAATCTCACCTCAGGCCCAAAGCAATGTGATCAAGTGTGAGCCAAAATAATTCTTTCCTCTTTAAGTTCTTTCGTGAGATATTTGTCACAGAGACCAACAGTCTAATCCAATATATTGGAAAATTTTATGTTTTCATAATAAAACATTTGCAAAAAAAAACTAGGATAATAATGTAGAGTTCACGTGAAATATACAAATATAGAATGGGAAATCAAAAACCTGTGATAGTGTTGACTATGATAGGAGTTAAGATACTTATTTTCTCCTCCTCCTCCTCCTCCTCCTCCTCCTCCTCCTCCTCCTCCTCCTCCTCCTCCTCCTCGTCCTTCTCCTCCTCCTCCTCCTCCTCCTCCTCCTCCTTCTTCTCCTCCCCTCCTCATCCTCCTTCTTCTTTTTTTGTTGGGCCTGGGGCTTGAACTCTGGTGCTGGGTGCAGTCCCTCAGCTCTTCAGCTCAAGGCTAGAGCTCTACCACTTGAGCCTCAGTGCACTTCTGGTTTTCTAGGGGTTTATCGGCGATAAGAGTCTCACTAACTTTCCTGCCTGGCATGGCTTTGAAACGCAGATCTCAGCCTCCTGAGTAGCTAGGATTACAGGTGTGAGTGACCAGCACCCAGCTCTTTTATTCTTTTATGTTCTCTTTCTTTCTCTCTTTGTCTACCTTCATTTTAAATTTCTTGTCTCTCCCATTTTTTCCTCCTCTCTGTTTTCCTGTTTCCCACACGGGGTGGGAGTTTAGGGATATGGGGAGGGTTCATCAAGAAAATTCTTGTGATGTTCTACAGAAGTTGAATTGCTCCTTGTCTTAGCAGGGGTTTGTGAAAGATCAATCTCTTTTCCCAGAGAAATCAAATGCCTGTAGATTTGAGAGAATCTTCAGGAGCCAGGAAATCCTTAGACATTGGACCTTCCTGCTGGGGAGGGGGAATTTGTATTCTCTGGGGAGATGCCTGCCCAGGTAGCTCCAGAGGCATGGTTTTGGGACTTGGAAGGGGTTAGGAAACTATTACAAAGGCACAAGTGCTGCCACCTGATGGTTAGAGAAGGGCTCCAAATGCAACCAAATTAAATATGTCACTGACCACTCTCCATAAAACCAAAATCAAACAAATAACTCCCTTTCAAAAGAGAAAACTACTTGAGGGGGTTTCTACCCCTTGAAATTTTTGGCCTAGCCTCTTATCATTTCTTCAGTTTCCAAACTGTGCCAAACTTTTGCAGAAAAAGGAACAGTGCAACCACAGTTCACCTTCACATCATCAAGTTTTGGGCAGAGCTACTACTCAAAACAACAAAACAAATAAAGCTATGTCAAGGACGTGTTTAGGTGAAGACTCATAAAGACATGGAACTAACATTAGAGCTGGAGGAAGATTAGAAATCACCTGGTCCAACTCTTCTTCCTACCTTCCATTTTACAAATGAAAAGACTGAAGACAACCAAGCAACCTGCAGTACAGCAGCCATGGGGAACACAGCCTGCAGCAGTTTTCGGAACTAGGATCCACAGTACTAAATCTAGAACACACAGACACACAGATACACAGACACACAGACACAGACACAGACACAGACACACACACACACACACACATACACACACAAACAAGCCAAAGAAACCCAATATTTTTCATATTTTCTATCCTGCTCTATTCCTTTCCATTAAAAATGCTGGTGACAATCTAGTAAGTTGATTTTATAACTCACTGGTTATAATTTGGAAATCACTCTCCTAGAGCATTCATTTTCTTTTTTCCTCTTTATCCCAGGCCCTTGGGCTCCAGATATTTGCCCAGCCAGCCCATCCTGAGGACAGAGAAGGTGTTGTCCACAAGGAACCATGGGAAGAAAATTGTGTGACTCAAGTTAGGAAAACAGAAGGGTAGCACTACAGAGCTGGACATGGTGCAAAACCCAAGCGTCTCTTCTCTAGACTTAGGCCAAGAGGTGAGTGAAGCTGTTGGGGTCCATCCTGCAGGTGGCAATTTCCATGAAAGACCATGGAAATAGGACTGTACCCACTTTACAGGGGCTAGCAGCACACTGGGTCTCTGTAGAAATTTCCAAAGGCCACATATCCCTGAGAGATAGGTTCTCAGGGATAATAAAATAGACTTTGATCAACAGCAATTGAAAGGATGGTCAAAGCCCTTTGGAAAACTGGTGTAGTTAATCTTGATCTTTTTCTGAGGAAGAAAGAAGTCACACTATTGGGGAGATTACAGAAGCATTTGATTACTGAGTGTTTGTTTTCTCCTTGTGTAGATCATCCTGAACTCTAATGGTCATTTTTTTTCCTGCCTCTGCCTCCTCAGTATTGGGATCACTGCCTGCACCCCCACCCCCACCCATAGTTCATTTCTCATTTTCATAACGTGGCTTCACCAGTTTACCTTCATTCTGCCCCTATGGGCTCCTCTCTATATTTAAAATGGTGACATCTGCCAGATGCTAGTGCCTACACCTGCAATCCTCTCTACTTGGAAGATTGAAGACTGGAGGATCATGGCTTGAGGCCAGCCTTGGAAAACTATCTTCTCTACTCCTATCTCAACAGAGCCAGGCCTGGTGTCAGGACATGGTGGCACACATCTGTCATCTCAGCTAGGACAGAAAGCCTAAAATTAGCATGGCCAAGAGTGTGGCTGGTGGTTAGGGAGACTCTATGTCAAAAATAGTCAGTGTAGAAAGGAGATGGAGGCAGTGAGAGAGCAGGAGGTGCTGAGTTCAAACCCCAGTACAACATACACACATACACACAAACACACACACACACACACACACACACACAGAGACACACACAGACACACACACACAGACACACACACAGACACACACACACAGACACACACACACACAGACACACACGCAGACACACACACACACACACACACACACACACAGAGACACACACATACACACAAACACACACACACACACAAACACACACACACACAGACACACACACACACACAGACAGACACACACAGACACACACACACAGACACACACACAGACACACACACACAGACACACACACAGACACACACACACACAGACACACACACACAGACACACAGACACACAGACACACAGACACACACACAAGCTGACATTGGATTTTTGAATATTTAGGAAGTACTGGGGTTTGAATTCTGATTCTCATGCTTGCTAGGCTGCTATGATTCTGCTAAATCATGCTCTCAACCCCACCCCTTTTTTTAACTGGTTAATTTTAGGATCAGTGCTTGCTTTCCATTCAGGCATGCACCTGAGCCACACAGGTTTCTCCATCATTACGGGGATGACCAGTTCTCACCATCATGTTAGGTTTCCCTTTGTGGAGCTGGAGTTTTGTGGCCTTCTCTGTCCAGGCTGTCCTGGATATGTGATCCTCTCATTCTCAACTTCTCACATAGCATGCGATGATAGGCGCTCACCACGGTACCCGCTGTCACTTGAAAAGGTGTCTCATGCCCTACTCTGTCCAGACAATCCTTATACCACAATCCTCCTCTTCACAGACTCCTAAGTAGCTGAGATCAGAGGTGTGAGTCACCAATGCCCATCTTTTCCTTGATTGCTATTTTTTAAGTATTGCATCATGGAGTCATAAATTTCAATGCATATCCTACAAAATTAATTAAATTGTGGGAACAGGTGGGTTTGGGAGGGATGTAAGAGAATGTTGAAAAGGCAACATTGATCAAGATGTACTGTATTCACAAAATGCTTGGTTGAATGACAACTCCTTTGTGCAACTACTTAAAGATAATAAAAACGTACTTTAAAAAGGCTGCTCATATCTTAGATATTCTGAAGTTGCCATTCTCTTTGATTTGTGCTTCATTGTTCTCACCATAGTCCTGGCTCAGAACAAGGACACTAGGCCAGTTACTAATCGCACATTAAACAAAGCAGCACAAGTACAGGCTTTCACTTAAGCACCATGATCTAACAATTTTCTTAACATTTTACCAGGAATGTTTCAGAACCAAAAAATACTCAATAAATATAAGGCAGAGTGCAGTAACATCTTTCCTACCTGGGCAGTTGAAAACACTCAGTTGCAATAAGGCAGGCACAAATCATTGTTCCCGTTTGCCCTTGAAAAGAAACTATCTCAAGAAACCTTTGCTCCAGTATAAAACTACACTCAGAAATACTCAAAGTGTGCATTGGGTATCAGTTCACTTTCATCTTGAATGCGTCTATGTCAACATTTTCAATTGAGAAATAGAAAGACCTTATTTTAACTAACATAACAAAAAGATAAACCCGGGCCAGGCATGGGGGTTCACATCTGTAATCCCAGCTACTCTGGTGGCAGAGATCAGGCAGATTGTGGTTCCAGGCCAGCTCAGGCCAAGTTAGCAACATCTCATTCTCAACCAACAAGGTGGGCATGGGGGTTCATATCCATGACTCCCATTATGTGGGAGACATAGAACAGGATTACAGTTGGAAGCCAGTTCAGGAAAAATATGAGACCTTATCTGAAAAAAAAAATCATTGAAGCAAAACAAGACAGGCCATATGGCTTAAGTGGCAGAGTACTGGCTAAGCAGTTGTGAAGTACTGAGTTCAAACCCAAGTAGAAACTCAAAACACTAGCATTTATCATCTCTACTTAACTGTACTAGTTATTGCAATTGTATTAGAAAATCATTCAAAAATAAAGAATGTAGAGAGAACAGCAATATAATCAATATTTATGTATCTATTCCACAGAGTCTATAAATCTGAGTCTTTTTTGTGCTTGCTTAATTTATATCTTGGCTTGCCTGCCTATATTCTCTTTTCTTTCTCTGTCTCTGTCTCTCTCACTCTCTCTCATAGTGTTTTAAAGCATACCTTTGACTTCCCACTTCAAATAACTTCACCCTCAAAGTCTTTTATATTTATTTATATATATTTATATCCAATTTATATTTTAGTTCTGACATAAAAATTTAGATTTGAAAAATATTGCCCTTTCCACAATCCTCTGCAGATTTTGGATTAGCTGCTTTTATATAATTCTAACTGCACCCATTTACCTAAGAATTACAACATTTTCTGATCTATCCTCTAAGAGCTTTTAAATGAATCACTCATTGAACTTTGCCACCTGTGTCTGAACGTACTATTCTAACCAAGTACTTCCACAATGGAAGTTAATGGCACCACTAGATTTGATGAATACGAGCTTCCTGCTAGATGAGGCGACTGGCTATTGCTTCTCTCAGCTTCACTGACTGAAAACGTGTCAATTCTGCAGGACATATCTGGGTTTCTGTAAGTATGGTATTTTCCCATGGGAAGGAAACTTGTGAAAAGTTCTTTTAGCAATTATAGGTACACTAACATGGGGCACCTTCCCATGTCAATGCTGTGAATAAATACAGCTTCAGGATCAGTTAGTGTCCTCTTCTCTCAGCCCAGTGAAACAAAACCATGAAGCACACAGTAATCATTGTGCAATCATTTGGCAAGCATTCATCACTAAACCTCTCAAATTAGACAATGATGAGTTCTCCCAGGTGGAAATGTCGGGCCTGTTGTATCATCAACAACCTGTCATTTCCAAATTGACCAGACAAACAAAGACACAGAATCATAGATTTTTTTTTTTAACTAAAAGCTTTCCCCCAATATTTTATAGTGGTCTTGCTTGTATTGAATTTAGCTGTAATAATAGATATCATCACTCAACTTCATGGACTCTTCCTGAAACACACAACTTAGTTTTCATGAAATTAAAACTTATTCTGTTCACTTTGATATTTTCAGATTTATATAATATGCAATTATTTGATGTAATTATAATCTTAAATAACAGACACTTGAGATAACAACTAACCTTTATCCACTGACTTACAGATCTCACATAATCTTTACAAGTCTGTGAGAATAATATCTTGGCATTAGGAAGAAAAACCAGAGGTTCTACAAGTTTAAGAGATTCTGTGGGGAGTGTGTGTGTGTGTGTGTGTGTGTGTGTGCTGATACTGGAATTTGAACTCATGACCTCCCTTGGTGGCTTCTGATCAAGCAGGGTGCTCTACCACTTGAGTCACACCTCCATTTCCAGCTCTCTGCTGATTAGAGACAAGAGTCTCATGAATTTTTCTGCTTGGGTTGCCTCTGAATCATGATCCTCAATTCTCAGCTTCTTAAGTAGCTACAGTTATAAGCATTGACCACCAGTGCTTGGCTGAGCCTTTCACACAGTCAAATACAAAGTATTTTAATGCCAAGTGAGAAATCTGTCATGTTGAGTCTTGGACAGTTCTCAGAAGAAGAAATACAAATGGCTGAATATATACATGAAGAAATAGTCAACTTCCTTAGCCATAAAGAAAATACAAATAAACTTTTTGTTCAGCAGACTTACCAGTTATGCTTATAATATATCTTGAGCATTATACTCTAGGTCATTCTAGGACTGCTCTATAGCTTGTTTATGTGGGGATGGAGTTGGGGGTTAGTTGATTGGCTATGTTTTTTTGTGTTTTTGCGGTTCTACCTATTTGAAGACAAGAGCCACTCCAATACAACAATAAGACAGTCTTTTAGGGCGGGAGCAAACCCAGTATCATGTATACGTATAGAACTTAGGGTTTCAAAATTATGGGTAGGTGTTTCCCTATTTAGCCCTCTTTTTCTTTGCTTGGAGAGGGATGTTGTAGTTCCAGGGTGGAGATTACATATAGTTGTAACTTGTGAGATGATCTGGGTTTGGCTGTTAAATAGTCTGCACCTTACAGTTAACAAGATGGGTCCCTTGTACTCAGTCAAAATGGAACCAACTGCAAGTTGACTCATATATTAACCATTAGGGATCAATGGACTGAAGAAAATGGAGAAGAGAAGGGTATATAAGTTTAAATTAAGAAGGAAAATTGGATATAATAGTAGTAGAGGGGTAAGAACAGTTTAGAGGAGAGGTATGTGTAGTAGGAAGGGACTAGAGACCTTGTTTCAGAGTGTAAGAGGTAGAAAAGAATTTGAACAAAGATTATGTAAGGAATAGCTTAGAAATCTAGATGAAAATAAGAAAAGAAATTATATATATATATATATATATATATGTATATTTGGGAGAATTGCTGATATTAGAAAAAGTTTTACTGAAAGAGTATTGGAAAGTAGATTAACCTAAGAGAATTCCTGTGACTATTATGTTTCCATACATAGAAGGCCTTACTTTGTGTATAGAACTAAACAGGTTGAATTAGAGTAAAAAACAACATAGAAAGAATCAACAAAACAGTTTGTTCTTTGAAAAAAAATGAACAAAATTGACAGACCCTTAGCAAAGCTTATCAGAAAAAAAGAGAACATACCCAAATAAACAAAGTCAGAGATGAGAATGGAAACATCACCACACAAGCAACCAAGATTCAGAATATTTTAAGGGGATACTTCTCAAACCTTTATGCAAATAAGTTTGAGAATCTGGAAGAAATGGACATATTTCTAGCAAACATTGACATGCCCGAACTAAACCAAGATGAGTTAAACCAACTTAACAAACCCATATCGAGCATCAAAATAGAACCAGCGATAAGAGACCTCCCACCCAAGAAAAGTCCAGGGCTGCATGGATTTACAGCTATAAGGCCTTCAAAGCAGAGCTCACACCAATACTCCTCCAACTCTTCAATGAAATTGAAAGAGAACATTCACTACTGAACTCTTTCTATGAAGTCATCATAACCTTCATCTGAAAACCAGGCAGGGACTCATCAAAGAAAGAGAACTACAGACCCATTTCTTTGAAGACTATCGATACAAAACTTCTCAACAAAATTTTGGCCAACCAACTTCAACAACTCATCAAAAAAGTCATACAGCATGATCAAACAGGATTCATCTCAGGGATACAAAGCTGGTTCAATATATGTAAATTAATTAACATAATTCATCACATCAACAAGAGCAAGGATAAGAACCACATGGTTATCTCAATAGATTTATAAAAAGCATTTGACAAGGTCCAACACCCCTTTATGATGAAAGCTCTGGAAAAACTAGGAATCCATAGGAACATTCCTCAATGTAATAAAGGCTGTGTATGACAAACCTACAGCCAGTATTATACTTAATGGTGAAAAGTAAAGCAATTTCCTCTAAACTCAGGAATGAGACAAGGATGTCCACTTTCTCCACTTCTCTTCAATTTAGTATTAGAATGCCTAACTACAGCAATAAGACAAGATGCAAACATAAAGGGGATCCAAATAGGGAAAGATGACATGATCTTGTATTTAAAGAATCCCACGGACTCCACTCCCAAGTTACTTGAGCTAATTTGAAATTTTGGCAAAGGAGCAGGGTATATAATTAACCCTCAAAAATCAATGGTTTTTCTGTAAGCCATGGCTGAAATCAGGAAAGCAACTCCTTTTGTAATAGTCCCACAAAAAATAAAATACCTAGGAATTAATTTAACCAAAGAAATGAAGGATCTCTATGAAGAAACCTTTAAAAACCTGAAAAAGGAAATTAAAGCAGAATGTAGGAAGTGGAAAAACCTCCAATGCTCCTGGATTGGGAGGATTAACATCATGAAAATGGCAATACTTCCAAAGGCTATCTACAAATTCAATGCAATACCTATCAATATTCCAACCTCATTCTTCAATGAAATAGAAGAAACAACCCACAAATTCATATGGAACAATAAAAGACCCTGAATAGCAAAAACAATCCTTAGCAGAAAGAACAGTGCTGGAGGAGTATCAATTTCAAGTTTCAAACTCTACTACAAAGCCATAGTAATCAAAACAGCTTGGTACTGGCACAAGACCAGACCTCAGGACCAAGGGAATAGAACTGAAGACCCAGAAATGAACTTACAGACCTATAGCCACCTAATCCTTGACAAAGGAGCTAAAAAAAATAGAATGGAAGAAAGAGCCTCTGGCTGTCTGGTGCTGGCAAAATTGGTTAATCACATGCAGAAAACTAAAGCTGGATCCTTATATATCACCCTGCACCAGAATCAACTCCAAATCGATCAAAGATCTCAAAGTCAAAACAGACACCCTGAAAACATTACAGGAAGGAATAGGAGAAACTGTAGGGCTCCTTAGCATGGGCTGAAATTTTCTTTCTTTCTTTGTTTTTTTTTCATATTCTTTATTGTGATTAAGTGATTACATAATTTCACAAATTTCACAGTATTGTGAGATAGTGATGCTTAGTTAAAGTCACAAATACATTCTAACTTTCATGGAGTAAATTGTCTATCATGGTCTATAACATTTATGGAGTCTATGAGCTTTGACAATACAATTATTTCTTCTGCATTGGGTGATATGTACATTTGTTTTGTTTTGCATAGCATCAGCTGTTCCTTCTTTCCCACTCGTTCCCTCTCTCCCATTGCTGCCATTGAGTTGCTTAGTTTGTTTTGATCAATGTCCAGTGCAGCTGATGGGTCCCACTGTTGTATGTTTTTCCCTGATTCCCTCTAGTTCTGTGTCGTCCTCCTGATTTCCCTCTGGTGTGCACATATATATCAGCAGCATGGGGTTATTTAGTAGTGATTCGACCAGATGAGTGAAAGTCCTTTGTTTCTTAAGGCTTGTTAACTTTGTCCTATCATCTTACATACTGGATTTAACTTCCACTTATCAGGGAGACCATGTGCCGTTTGTCTATTTGCTCTTGACTTACCTCAACCAACATGATTTGTTCTAGTTCCATCCATTTCCCTGCAAATGATATTATTTTGTCCTTTCTAATGGCTGCATAATATTCCATTGTGTATAGATACCACAGTGGGTCCATTCATCTGGGACCCTGGGTTGGGTGGGACATCTGGGTTGTTTCCATATCTTGGCTGTGAACAGAGCTGCAATAAACATGGAGGTGCATGTGTCCTTGTATACTGGTTCCTGTTGTTCAGGATAGATCCCTAGAAATGGTATGGCTGGGTCATAAGGGAGGTCCATATTTAGCTTTCTGAGGACCCACCAGATTGCTTACCAAAGTGGTTGTATGAGTGTACATTCCCACCAGCAGTGTAATAGGGTTCCTCTCTCCACATCCCCTCCAGCATTTGTCGTTGGCTGACTTTAGGATGTGGGCCATTCTGACTGGGGTAAGGTGATATCTCAGGGTTGTCTTTATTTGCATTTCCTTCACCACCAGGGATGATGAACATTTCCTCATGTGTTTCTTTGCCATTTTTATCTCTTCTTCTGAGAAGTCTCTCTTTAGTTCCCTTGCCCATTTAGTAGTTGGTTTGTTAGGTTTGGGAGGGATTAGTTTCTTGAGTTCCCTGTATATACTGGATATTAACACCCCCTTGTCTGATATATTGCTGGTAAATATTTTTTCCCATTTAGTGGATTGTCTTTCTAGCTTGGTTGCTATAGCTTTAGCTGTGCAGAAACTTTTTATTTTAAGGTAGTCCCATTTGTCGAGTCTCTCTCCAATTTGTTGTGACCCTGGGACTTTTCAGGAAGTCCCTGCCTGTGCCTGTAAGTTCAAGTGTCTCTCCTACTCTGTCCTGCAGTAGTTTCAGGGATTCAGGTTTGATGCTAAGGTCTTTAATCCATTTAGAGTTGATGTTGGTGCATGGTGATAGGCTGGGGTCCACTTTAGTTTTCTGCTTGTATCCTCCCAGTTTTCCCAGCACCAGTAATTGAAGAGGCTGTGTCTCTTCCATTGTATGTCTTTGGCTCCTTTGTCAAATATCAGCTGACTGTAGGCTTGTGGTTTTATTTCTGGATCTTCTATTCTATTCCATTGGTCTTCGGGTCTGTTTTTGTGCCAGTACCATGCTGTCTTTGTTATTATGGCTCTATAGTAGAGTTTGAAGTCTGGCATCGAGATCCCATGTTGTCTTTTTTGCCTAGAATTGGCTATTCTAGGTCTTTTGTTGTTCCATATGAATTTTTGGACTGTTTTCTGTATTTCAGAAATGTGTGTCATTGGGATTTTAATAGGAATTGCACTGAATTTGTATATTAATTTTGGCAGTATGGCCATTTTCACTATATTAAGTCTGCCTTTCCAAGAGCATGGAAGGTCTTTCCATTTCCTGGTGTCCTCTGTAATTTCTTTCTTTAAGTTTTTATTGTTTTCATTAAATAATTCTTTTACATTTTTGGTTTGGTTAATTCCTAAATATTTTATTTTTTGGGGGGTTATTGTGAATTGTTTTGCTTCCTTTATTTCCCTCTCTGCTTGTACATTTTCAGTGTACAGGAAGGCGACTGATTTTTGTGGGTTGATTTTGTATCCTGTACTTTGTCTAAGTGGTTTAAATTTCTAAGCGTTTGGGGATGGAGTTTTTGGGATCATGAAAGTATATTATGTCATCTGTAAAAAGGGATAGTTTAACTTTTTCCTTCCCTATGCGGATCCCTTTAATGTCTTTTTCTTGCTTTATTGCCCTGGCTAAGTGTTCCAGGACTATATTGAAGAGGAGTGGAGACAGTGGGCATTCTTGCCTTGTTCCTGATTTTAGGAGAATTGGTTGTAGCTTTTCCCCATTAAGTATAATATTGGCTATTGGTCTTTCGTATATGGCTTTTATTGTTTTAAGGAATCTTCCTTCTATTCCTATTTTCTCCAGAGCATTTAACATGAATGAATGTTGTATCTTATCAAAAGCCTTTTCTGCATCAATGGACATAATCATGTGGTTCCTGCCCTTGGATCTGTTGATGTGTTGCTTTATGTTTATTGATTACGTATGTTCAACCATCCCTGCATCTCTGGGATGAATCGTAGTGTATGATTTTTATAATGTTTCTGGATTCTGTTAGCTAAAATTTTAAGGATCTTTGCATCTGTGTTCATCAAGGAGATTGGTCTGTAGTTCTCTTTTTTGGTTGGATTTTTGCCTGGTTTGGGGATGAGTGTGATATTGGCATTGTAGAATGAGTTTGGGATAGCTCTCTCTTTTTCTACTTCTCTGAAGAACTTGAGGAGTATGGGTATTAGTTCTTTAAAGGTCTTATAGAATTCCATTGTGAGTCCATATGGACCTGGGCTTTTCCTTGTCAGAAGACTTCTGATTGTTTCCTGTATCTCATTGTAAGATATTGACATATTTGATTTATTTATTCTTTGCTCAGTTTGGGCAACTTGTATTTCTCTAAAAATGTATCCATTTCTGCTAGGTTTTCTTTCTTTAGAGAGTATAACTTTTTTTTGGGGGGGGAGTCCGGTCGTGGGGCCTGAACTCAGGGCCTGTGTGCTGTCCCTCAGCTCTTCAGCTCAAGGCTAGTGCTCTACCACTTGAGCCACAGCGCCACTTCCGGCTTTTTTCTTTTTTTTGCGTATGTGGTGCTGAGGAATCGAACCCAGGGCCTCAGGCATGCAAGGCAAGTGCTTTACCACTGAGCCACCTTCCCAGCCCCTAGAGAGTATAACTTTTGAAAATAGTTCTTTATAATTGTTTGGATATCTTAGGTATTTGTTGTGATTTTTCCTATGGCATCCCTGATCTTGTTAATTTGGGTTTTCTCTCTTTTCTTAATTAATCTTGCCAAAGGTCCATCAATTTATTTATTTTTTTCAAAGAACCTGCTTTTTATTTTCTTAATTTTATTTATAATTTTCCTATTCTCTATCTCATTAATTTCTGCTCTTAATTTGATTATCTGGCTCCATCTAGTAATTTCAGGTTCCATTTTTTCATGTTTTTCTAGCTGTTCTAATTGCA